GGCTTTCATATTTTTTTAAGTTTTATCAGAGAATGTCTAATAGAAGTTTTATAACGAAATTTAAACAAATTTAGTCTTGGCGCTTTCAATATGTCATGACAAATCGCCTCAGATCATGAAGTGACGCGGGGGCGCGCTTGAACCGATCATCACTTTTTTACTACTAACTTTATTTGTTAAAGCACAAAATGAACATCGGAAGCAGAAGGTAGGCTAACTTATGTCGAAGGAACCAGTAAAACTCACTGAAATGTATAATGTCTCATGTAATCGCTCAATGTTTCAACCGCAGATAAAACAGCATAATGTCACGTAACGTAATGTTGTACAAAATTACCTCAGAAAAGCCATTCAGTGGCCAAACTTTAACGAAAAAAATAACTCTAGAGAAAAGCATTTAGCAATAAAATGATTATTTGACATTTTTACATTAAAAACTTATTATAACATTGTTATTGTTATTAAAGTATTATTAAACTATAAAAACAGTTGTTAATTAACCTTTAATAGCAGTATCATCTTGGCAGGGTTCTCTGTATAGTTGAGAAAGATTTTTTTTTCCTTGAAAAATGAATATGTGTTAATTTTAATAGATTTAAAGTAGCCTACTTGTGTTTAGCATATTTCTTAAAAGTGTAACTAAACATTTATTACCAATGTACTTCTAGTATAATTTTTTTTAGAAATATATTTAAATGCAATTCAATATATTTTCAATGCACTTCAAATAAATATGTTGGAAATACAAATTATTATAAACATACTACTTGAATTCAACTGAGCAGATCTGTTGTTATTGCTTTATTTTGTCATATTTAATTCTGATTTTAAACCACGACTTGATTTTGTAATTGCAGACGCCAATGACGAGAAGAAACTTGAGTTTGTGAACAAGACAAATGGAGAGGCTGAGAAGAAGAAAGACAGACATGTAGGTTCTGGCCAAGATTTAGTCTATACAGTGATTTTCAGTCATTAATGCCATTTGACTGCTCACTTGATTATTTTATTTATTGATAATAATAATAAATAAATATATAAATAATATTATTTAATTTTTATATTTGCAAGACAAGTATATATTCTTGACACTGTCTATTGAAAATAGTAAACATGGCTAGTTTAGGTTTGTCCTTTTTCACTAGAGGCTGTGGTGGTTTATGTTTTTTTTTACTTGCAAATCAATAGCCTACATATTTAATGTCTGCATCCACTAATATTACTGTATTAACACACAAAATGTGCAATGTTAGAGAAACTCCAGAAACAAAACACTTTTACAAAAAACATATTCATCTCCTCTATTATGCATAGGAGCAGATATTAGTTAACAGCCTCCCCAAAGTTTGTAAAAAAAATCATTTTATTATTATGTATGACCAATATTGCAAAATCATCAATTACATTTAACATCTGTAAAATAAAATCATTCTGTGAATATGGAATGTAAAATATACAATTTTACGCAAGTTGAAGGCACTGTATGGTAACATGTCTGATCATTAGTTTTTTGTGACTTGACAGTATAGATCTCTGTGAAGCTCTGACAGGAACTGATCGACTCTCGAATTATTTACAACAGTAATTATTTATTTCCACATCCTCCTGAAAGGAACGGCGTCAGATGCTAATGTTGCTGCTTCAAGCCGAGAAGCAAGAGGTGATGAAGAGATGACACTTCTGGAGTGACTGTGACCGCTCTTACACCTGGAACACATGAAACACAAATGAGTTTTATTGCATAAATTCATAACTCTTTGAACAGGTGAGAAAAGTTCCAGTTTTTCATTTTTAGGGTGTGAATTATGAAGTGAATTTTTCATGTAAAGAGATCCCTGATCCGAGCTCTTGTTTTTGCCGGATTCTTTCTTCCGTCTGAAAGAGAGACTCTTAAAGAAGTTGAAGTCGCCCACTTTCTTCATCTTCCTCTTCAGACGCGAGATGGGAAGCTGGTCTCTCTCTTCCTCGGGCTTCTTCTCGTCAGGCCGATGGGGAAGATGGTTTGAGGGTGTGCGGTCACGGTGATGGAGGTCGTGAACCTGCTTGCTATCCGTGAACGGTTGTACTCGTGAACTTCCGTGTCCCATGATGAATCGCTGTTGTGTATCAATCACACTAAAGCAGCTGCAAACTCAGTAAATGAGTAAAGTGTGAAGAGTTACATGGCTTTAATAAGGCACGCAGACGTTCTAAAAATAATCCAACTCTTTATGACGTCATAATGGCTCTGACGTCACTTAGCTGAGGGGAAAGAATGTCTGTTATTTTGTGTAATGTTTCCTTTCAATATTAGGCTATATTACAATGTTATGGTATTCTTATAGAATTACATCTGAATCTAATGACTGTACAATTTCTTAAATTTATAGTTAATCAAATACCTAAAAACGGCTAAATAGACATTGTACAGTTATGTTGTAAACATATGTTTATTAAAAATAAATATATTAAGTATGTTGTCTGTCTGCTAAATACATTTTGTAGAAAATGTTAACATTTGAAGTGAAGTTTTATAAAATTACATATGGTTTACAAAACGTAGCAGCTGCAGCAGCAGCAAGATAGTAGCCTAACAAAGTTTTCTGCGGTGTATTTAACAATATAAATATATGAATATCTATTTTGCTTTTTATGTATTTTCAAAGACACGATAAGTGCTGCCAACTCTCGCGCATTCAGCGCGATCTCGCACCACACGTCCATTTTATCATGAAACACATGACGGAGCAAAGACACACAATGCGCTAAATCACAAAAAGCCTCGGCTTTCATATTTTTTTAAGTTTTATCAGAGAATGTCTAATAGAAGTTTTATTACGAAATTCAAACAAATTTAGTCTTGGCGCTTTCAATATGTCATGACAAATCGCCTCAGATCATGAAGTGACGCGGGGGCGCGCTTGAACCGATCATCACTTTTTTACTACTAACTTATTTGTTAAAGCACAAAATGAACATCGGAAGCAGAAGGTAGGCTAACTTATGTCGAAGGAACCAGTAAAACTCACTGAAATGTATAATGTCTCATGTAATCGCTCAATGTTTCAACCGCAGATAAAACAGCATAATGTCACGTAACGTAATGTTGTACAAAATTACCTCAGAAAAGCCATTCAGTGGCCAAACTTTAACGAAAAAAATAACTCTAGAGAAAAGCATTTAGCAATAAAATGATTATTTGACATTTTTACATTAAAAACTTATTATAACATTGTTATTGTTATTAAAGTATTATTAAACTATAAAAACAGTTGTTAATTAACCTTTAATAGCAGTATCATCTTGGCAGGGTTCTCTGTATAGTTGAGAAAGATTTTTTTTCCTTGAAAAATGAATATGTGTTAATTTTAATAGATTTAAAGTAGCCTACTTGTGTTTAGCATATTTCTTAAAAGTGTAACTAAACATTTATTACCAATGTACTTCTAGTATAATTTTTTTTAGAAATATATTTAAATGCAATTCAATATATTTTCAATGCACTTCAAATAAATATGTTGGAAATACAAATTATTATAAACATACTACTTGAATTCAACTGAGCAGATCTGTTGTTATTGCTTTATTTTGTCATATTTAATTCTGATTTTAAACCACGACTTGATTTTGTAATTGCAGACGCCAATGACGGAAAGAAACTTGAGTTTGTGAACAAGACAAATGGAGAGGCTGAGAAGAAGAAAGACAGACATGTAGGTTCTGGCCAAGATTTAGTCTATACAGTGATTTTCAGTCATTAATGCCATTTGACTGCTCACTTGATTATTTTATTTATTGATAATAATAATAAATAAATATATAAATAATATTATTTAATTTTTATATTTGCAAGACAAGTATTTATTCTTGACACTGTCTATTGAAAATAGTAAACATGGCTAGTTTAGGTTTGTCCTTTTTCACTAGAGGCTGTGGTGGTTTATGTTTTTTTTTACTTGCAAATCAATAGCCTACATATTTAATGTCTGCATCCACTAATATTACTGTATTAACACACAAAATGTGCAATGTTAGAGAAACTCCAGAAACAAAACACTTTTACAAAAAACATATTCATCTCCTCTATTATTCATAGGAGCAGATATTAGTTAACAGCCTCCCCAAAGTTTGTAAAAGAAATCATTTTATTATTATGTATGACCAATTTTGCAAAATCATCAATTACATCAGTAAAATCAAATCATTCTCTTAATCTTTTATAAAATATTTTAAGTACAGAATTCAACAATAAATAAGTCAATGTATAAAAAATTATTTAGGTTTAAATTTCAATTTAAAGAGAGTAATATATCACGTTTTATTCTTCTCTTTTGAACTTCTAAGACATAATCTTCCATATTTTTTTAATTGATCAATTATGATTAATTACATGTTTCCTGCAGAACCATGTCTTTCATTCTGTGAATATGTAAAGTAAAATATACAATTTTACGCAAGTTGAAGGCACTGTATGGTAACATGTCTGATCATTAGTTTTTTTGTGACTTGACAGTATAGATCTCTGTGAAGCTCTGACAGGAACTGATCGACTCTCGAATTATTTACAACAGTAATTATTTATTTCCACATCCTCCTGAAAGGAACGGCGTCAGATGCTAACGTTGCTGCTTCAAGCCGAGAAGCAAGAGGCTAAAGATGACAGATGACACTTCTGGAGTGACTGTGACCGCTCTTACACCTGGAACACATGAAACACAAATGAGTTTTATTGCATAAATTCATAACTCTTAGAACAGGTGAGAAAAGTTCCAGTTTCTCATCTTTAGGTGTGAATTATGAAGTGACTTTTTCATGTAAAGAGCTCCAGGAAACCACATATAGAGCTCAATATTCTCATAACATGGTTGTCATTTACCGTCGGCACTTCTCCTGGATGTGTCCGTCTCAGGTCCTTCATCTCATCCTGAGCTCTTGCTTTTGGTGGATTTTTTCCTCAAACGGAAAGAGATCTTCTGAAGAGACGACACTTCCGGAGTGGCTGTGACACCTGGAACAAAAACACAGAAATAAGGGTGCTAAATTCATCACACTTAGAACAGGTGAGGTTTTCAAAATACATCTTAAATAGTGTTTAGCTCGTGGCTCAGTACCTAAAACCAGTTGTGTTGAATAATCCTGTCCAGATCAAGCCGACGCTCCGGCTTCTGCTGCAGAAGTGAGCAGATCAAATCACAGCATTCTGTGAGAAAGATGGAGAGACGTCTGATTATTACGTCAACTTTACATCCGCTCTACTTTCATTATTCTACGCTGTGAGATCTTCAGGTCAAATTCCTGCATTATCTACACGGCCATCTCCTATAAAGCCTATGAAGTTTCGCATTAGAATTGTACTTGAAGTAATAAACAAATCACCCTCTGTCAAGCTGGATTTGTACCAGGTGTTCATATTGGTCCTGTAGAAGTCGGAAGTATCTGGAAAGTATCCACACAGCATTCTGAACAACAGGATCCCCAGAGACCACACCGTCGCCGGCTTTCCGTGAAACTCGCCCTTCATTCTGTACTCGGGAGGGCAGTACGAATCTGTGCCTGGAGGAAAGAGTGTTTGTCAGATGTGTGAGTCTCTACCACAGCAGTCATTAGCATACGAGTGTTGAGTTAATGATTCACAAGAGCTCTGAGAACTGATACACACCAGAGTAAGTCGTGTAGGGAGATTCTGTCAGGAGATCGCTGCATCCAAAGTCGATGAGTGTGACGTCGCGGCTCTTAACGTTTATCAGCAGGTTCTCCAATTTGATGTCGCCATGGTAAACTCCACGGCGACAGCACGCATCAGCGGCTAGTGTTGCCGACCACATGATGTGCCGCGCAAACTTCTCCTCAATGCGGCCGCCGTTGTGTTTCACAAAGTCGAACACATCCATGCAGTGCGAGAAACGCTCGAGGACCATGACGTAGAAGTCCTGCTGGTCCTGCCAGTCCAGAAGCTTGATGATGTCCATCGCTGGACCTTTTCTACTGGCCAGGATCGTCAGAGCCACTTCTTTGGGAAGGGGTTCGGGATGACCAGGCTGGAAGAAAGAAACATATGATGTCAGATGGTTTAAAATAGGGATTTAACTCAGTTTGTCTGCTGATAAAATCACTTATACTCACAATGCTGATGCATTCCATGTGTTCCGTCTTTTGGATAAATTTCACCGCCACCTGATGGACAACACAAAAAGCAATGAATGTGTGTAGAGATCATATCATAACGTCCGAGCAAGACTTTAAATCCTAACAGGTCAAGAAGAGCCCTAAATAGTGAATATAGGATACAGTAAGATGTCTTGCTTAGGATAAAGTGAGATATCAAAGGATGAGAAATAATTTGTATCAAAAACAATTTGCTAAACTAGTAGTGGTGAGTAAAAAAGAAAAAAAAAGTCAAACCTTCTGGTCATCCGCCAAACGAGTGCCTTCATAGACGGCACCAAATCCCCCTTGCCCCAGCTTCCGGCCAATTGCATATCGGCTGCAAATGTCGTCTGTAAAAGATGAAGAGAAGAAGACGAGGTTTAGTGGTGCTTTGCAGATATTGTGAGATTATTGTTGGGGACTGTGGCCGGAAACTCACCCTCAGGTCTCATGTTCTCCTGGTTACGGAGAGGAGACGTCTCACCCGCTGTCAGACGGACTGGAGCGTCGTGGACTGGAGTTTGAAGCTCAGCGGCGGGAAGGACTTCAGGATCATCGGCAGGAGGTTCCTCCAGATCAATGAGCTCTACAGATCTAGAGATGGACTGTAGAGGCTTTTGATCTAAACAGGAGAATATCAGCACTAGAAGTGAGCTAGCAGCTGAAAACAATACTGATTTATGAGGAGCAGCAATTCTTTGATATTAAAGTCAATTACTATTGTTCACCTATTGATTTTTAAAGTGCAAAGTATATTACTCATTTTTACACTTTTGAGGTTTCTTAATTCATTAATTATAGAAATAAACTTAAAAAAGTCTGTTTAAAACCACCCTACAGGGGGCAGAAGGTTCCCGTTACTTATTTAACAGGTGTAAATTATGAAGTGACTTTTTCACGTAGGAATCGGATATTAAATATATATTCTCATAACGTGGTTGTCATTTACCGTCGGTACTTCTCCTGGATGTTTCCGTCTCTTGATCCTTCATCATCTCACCCTGATCCGAGCTCTTGTTTTTGCCGGATTCTTTCTTCCGTCTGAAAGAGAGACTCTTAAAGAAGTTGAAGTCGCCCACTTTCTTCATCTTCCTCTTCAGACGCGAGATGGGAAGCTGGTCTCTCTCTCCCTCGGGCTTCTTCTCGTCAGGCCGATGGGGAAGATGGTTTGAGGGTGTGCGGTCACGGTGATGGAGGTCGTGAACCTGCTCGCTATTCGTGAACGGTTGTACTCGTGAACTTCCGTGTCCCATGATGAATCGCTGTTGTGTATCAATCACACTAAAGCAGCTGCAAACTCAGTAAATGAGTAAAGTGTGAAGAGTTACATGGCTTTAATAAGGCACGCAGACGTTCTAAAAATAATCCAACTCTTTATGACGTCATAATGGCTCTGACGTCACTTAGCTGAGGGGAAAGAATAGGCTTGTTTGAGATGAGCAAAATCTGCGCAGAACCGATCACCGGTGATCAGCGCGAGATGCATGCCGGTTAGAAATGTGTCCGAGTGCGGTCCGCCTTGCTCTGATGTCATGCTGACGTGAGTCAAAAAAGTCTCGCGACCGCAAGGCGCACGTGTCGGATTCTGCAGTCGCGCGCAGTTGCTCTCCACCGACTGCGCTGATCAAAAGCATGATGGGAAACGACTTGCTGACGACACAGCTTAATGCTCATTGGTTTAAACAACCGTGATGTATTGTTCTCTTTTAAAATGTTTGATTTTAAAACTCTGATATCATGTTTTATGTGTATAGATTATGTGTGGATATCCCCAAACTCTCTGACAGTGCGATCTATGTGATGTAATTTAACACACAAAAAAAAACACATAGGCCTATCTGTATTAAAGAAAAAAATGATTCATAAACATATAGGCCTATTTAAAATGGAATTAAATAAGTACTTTGGGTGTCTTGTTCATTATATTTATTTTCATATTCAAGCAACAAAACTTAAAATACATCCATTTATTAGCAACACCGTGCACGAGTGTGAATCCCGTGAATCCCGCGATATCCGCCTTTGATCTCACAGGTGTCAGATCCACTGCGAGAAGAGCGATCTGTCCGGCTTGCCTGCGCTTTTTTCACTCCTCCTCTCACTGCAGCCGCCTACTCTCGACTACATTTCAGGCGAGGCAAGGCGCATCTCAAACAAGCCTATTGTCTGTTATTTTGTGTAATGTTTCCTTTCAATATTACAATGTTATATTCTCATGCTTGTAGAATTACATCTGAATCTAATGATTGTACAATTTCTTAAATTTACAGTTAATCAAATACCTAAACACGGCTATAGTTTTAAACATTGTACAGTTATGTTATAAACATATGTTTATTAAAAATAAATATATTAAGTATGTTGTCTGTCTGCTAAATACATTTTGTAGAAAATGTTAACATTTGAAGTGAAGTTTTATAAAATTACATAGGCTTTTACAAAACGTAGCAGCTGCAGCAGCAGCAAGATAGCCTAACAAAGTTTTCTGCTGTGTATTTAACAATATACATATATGAATATTTATTTTGCTATTTTATGTATTTTCAAAGACTCACGATAAGTGCTGCCAACTCTCGCGCATTCAGCGCGATCTCGCACCACACGTCCATTTTATCATGAAAAACATGACGGAGCAAAGAAGACACACAATACGCTAAATCACAAAAAGCCTCAGCTTTCATATTTTGTTTAGTTTTATTACGAAATTCAAACAATATCGTCTTTGCGCTTTCAATATGTCGTGACAAATCGTCTCAGATGAAGTGAAGCGGGAGCGCGCTTGAACCGATCATCACTTTTTACTAACTTGTTAAAGCACAAAATGAACATCGGAAGCAGGTAACGTTAGGCTAACTTATGTCGAAGGAACCAGTACAACTCACTGAAATGTATAATGTCTCGTGTAAGTTCATCGCATATGTTTCAACCGCAGATAAAACAGCACAACAATGTCACGTAATGTACATTTACCTCAGAGAAGCCATTCAGTGGCCAAACTATAGCGAAAAAAATAACTAGAGAAAAGCATTTAGCAATAAAAGGATTATTTGACATTTTTACATTAAAAACGTATGATTATTGTTATTGTTATTAAAGTATTATTAAGCTATAAAACAGTTGTTAATTAACCTTTAATAGCAGTATCATCTTGACAGGGTTATCTGTAAGTTATAGTTGAGAAAGAAGCGCGATGCATTTTTGTAATTATACAAGGTGCCATTAGAGTCGCAGAAACGATGTACTTTACCCTAGATACACTAGTAACTATCTAATTCTCCAAAATGTTGTTTCTGTGTTTTATTGTAGGATTCTCAGTATTTAGACGTCAGTCCAGTTTCTCAGAGTCAGCTGCTGGTGAAGAGTGAAGCCGCTACAGACATTACACGATCACCAGAGACTGGAAACGAATCACACAGTGATGGGTGTGTGACTTTACAGAATTGTCTTGTTTTAATCTTTTTATGGGTCTGTTCTTTTGAATTACAGGTTTTCACTCTTTTACTTTGTGCAATGGATTGTTGCTAAATTTGTTGGTAAATATTAATTTTCCTAAAAAAATGTATTTGCCTTAATTATAAATGTAGGCTAAGGTGAAAAGTTTTATTTTAGAGAAGATAAAGAGCTACACTGGTAACCCTTGCTGTAAAAAAAGCCCAAATTCTGACAATATCATACCATTTTCCATTAAAACAGTAATATACCGTAGAAAACAAAACTAGCCTGCAGGAATATACTGTGAATTAACAACGCTCAAAGTCGACACTCAGGCCCCGTCCACACTACTGCGTTTTCGTTTAAAAACGGAGACCTTTTGCTACGTTTGCACCTCCCGTCCACACTAAAACGGCAAAAAACGGAGATCCAAAACGGAGAAGTTTAGAAACGCTGCCGATCCGTTTTTCGTTTTGAGTCTCCGGAGGGCGTTTTAGTGTAGACGGGTCAAAACGGAGGACTTTAGAAACGATGACGTAGGAGAGGCTCCCGCTCAGCTCTATGCTTGGGTGTCATCAGTCATGGCGTATATCTTTGCTAGCAGCTGTTGTACAAGTAAATCCTGCATTTTACACCGCTATAACTGCCTACATGCGCCGGAGTCAAGCTATTATTCGAACGATCTGTGACAATTCCCGTGTGCAGCGGCGGCGTTGACTGTACATGGAGCGTCGGTTTGGGGTTAACCCAGAGCATGGTGGGACAATTTTATCAATGAAGTTGTGTTTACACCGGCACGCGCATGCCCAGTGTTGGTGAATGGTCACGTGATCCGCGTTTTCAGTCGTTTTAATGTGGACGGAGATCAATTCTAATACGCAGCAAAAACGCTGGTGTGGACGGAGATCGTATTCGTTTTAATTATCCGTTTCTAAACTAAAACGCAGTAGTGTGTGGATGGGGCCTCAGAGGCTGTTTTCCCAATCACACCCTATACCCTCATTCACTATTCCCTACAGTAATTCTCTGATATGGTCCACTTGAATGAAAAGAAGTGAGTGAATTCAGACACTGATGAACACCTGATAAGCAGAATCACTGAAGGACAGAGAAACAAGAACTGAAAAAGAGAAACACAAAAATTACAACTGACTTCCACGATTATTTCTTTATGTACAAAAGTTCTTGTTGAGAATTAACAGAGATTTAGTTAATAATAAAGTTTGTTGTCACCATAGACCAATTTCCAGCCGACGTCACAGTTACGTCACAGCGCCAGCTGGTGGCAGAACAAAGGGAAAACTGGAGGCGGCAAATACAAACCAGCACAGATTCGGCTACAAAATAAGGATCTTAAATTATTCTTCTTATTATTAAATGTCATCTTGTTGTGTTGTTGGGTGCAAGAATCAATGAAAAATGAATATGCTTTATCTGCAATTTTTTATTTCTAGAAAATATTCACCTCATTAAAATTGCACCGTAATGTCACTCTTTACATTGTCGTCTTCATCGCGCTGGCTCGGCAGAACTGCGGATCGTACCACACAAGTCTTGTACTTGACCATTCAGCACATAGTTATAGGCATCTAAAGATTTATATGCCCTCTGTTTCTCTATCGGGTAGGTGTAGAAGTCAGGCCACTCAACCGGAGGTAGCGTTAACGTTAATCCTGTCAGATCCTCAATCAATGAGTGTAAGGGTCGGCCAATCTGGTTCCGTCCGTTAAAATTAACTTTTGCAAAAAACAATCGTGGTCCTGGACAGTGAGCGACCTTGCACATTAAGATAAAATCGGATTTTCTCCAGTCATTGTTAAAAACAAGCTAACAAAACTTGCAGACTTCATTACGTTAATGAAGCGGCCAGAGGGATCGTTCTGCCACCACCTAAGCTCCGCCCACAGAAAAACGTCACCATGTTTACCAACTGAAAATTGGTCTATAATGGAGATCAGTATTTGCTTTCTCTTGTCCCTGGACGTCGGACAGTTGGTCAATTTAAGGCAGTCAGTTTCTGCAAGTGAAATTAGTTAACTTGAGTTTTAGTGCATTTTACAGTAACATACTGTAGATTACAGTAAAGAACTGTACAAATGACAGTAAATTACTGGCAACAGTGTTGCCAGTATTTTACTGTAAAAAAAACCTGGTAAGGTCTAACAGTGTAGATTTGATATGTACTGTAAGAATGGCCTGCTGGTGTCACCAGCAGAGGGCAACAGATCATGTGAATGAATTTCACACACAAAAAAGAAATTCAGTAAAACATTTTTATTTTTATATTTTCTAAAGGTAATTCAACTTGTTTAACACAGTTTATCACTAATTCCTAAAGAAGGCCATTTTTTAATTTAGATCAATTTTTGCTATTTTTAGTCAGTGGGAATTAAGGGAGGGTTTTTAAGATTTTTTTTTACATTTATGGGAACATAGAATTGAACTTACAAATTTACAACTTACAAATGTAGCCTGTTGCAAACCTTAGTCGGGCTTGTATTTTTATGCTTTAAACTTAATATTAACTCAAATACAGTACCTCACAAAAGTCAGTACAACCCTCACATTTTTGTAAATATTTTATCATCAGATGGTGTCAAGCAACCTGTGCAGCTCTGGTGGACTACCTGCCCAAGAAGGTTAAGGCAGTGCTGGGAAATAATGGTGGCCACACAAAATATTGACACTTTTTGGGCCCAATTTGGACATTTTCACTTTATGGGGTGTACTCACTTTTTGTTACCAGTGATTTAGACATTAATGGCTGCTATTTTTGAGTTATTTTGAGGGGACAGCAAATTGACACTGTTATTCAAGCTGCACACTCACTACTTTACATTGTAGCAAAGTGTCATTTCTTCAGTGTTATCCCATAAAAAGGTATAATAAAATATTTACAATTATGTGAGGTGTTATCTACCACATAAATGATAAATTATTTTTATTTCAAATCTATACTCTTACCGAATGCCGTCAATTCACCTTTGAGTCCATTTAGTTTATCCTGAGGAATTTTAGAAGGCATCATTGCAATTTAAAAACCAATTAAATGAACCTAGTTGTTCCCTAACTACACACAATATAAACTGACTACTGGTAGCAGTACTGCCCCCTTCTGGACACAAGAAAAAAACATGCAGATTGACAAACTCTTTGGATGCATTGATATATATTGTTTAGGTTTGTTAATACCAATGCTGATAGCTTGGTGGCTAATTAATTACTAGGAGTGTTCATTTAATGCATTAAATAAGTGTCATTACAAAACAAATTCTGCAATAAACAGGCAACAGAGCCAACTTCTTTTTATTTATGTTTTATTTGTCCTACTAAAATAAATTACTGTATAATATGTTGTTCTTTACATTCTGAATTCTGAGTATATTAAAATATATTTATATCATACACTTCAGTTTTCTATTAATAAAGTTCTCTAAATCTTTTTAAAATAATCTCGAGTAAAATACAGTGAAAAAACAGATGCAAAAAGAGTTTATTGTTCTAGTGCACAAAATGTACAGGTATATGAAATATTGAGTTTAAATCTTCCCAAAACATGCTTGGCAGGATAAATTCTGTGAAGTATTTTGTAAGACACTTCCTTAATTTTGACATTAACACAAAACTAATTTGGCAATTTCCATGCTTTGACCCAAGAGATATTAGTGCGGTTAATTTGATTAAAGGGGCACTTGGCAACTATTTTAACTTAATAAAACCGTTTAGAAATCATTTGAATGAATTAATAACCTGTTCTGGAGAGAATGGTGACTTTCCCCCACTCACCCCAGCGTCCCCAGGCGGAAAACCAACCTTGCAACAAGGGGACTGACGTCCCGGTAAGTTGGAAATAGAAGTCTCGTGAGAAGCGAGAACGAGCGAGAAACACAAACTGCTTTATGGCAATTCGACATAATTCTATGATTCCTGTATATGATGTATTACCCACTCGGTAGACATAGCTCCACACGATAAAGTTGGCCGGCTCCGATAATAACAAAAGCACATGAGCAGCGGTAGAAAGCGGAAAGCAAGTGAGTTTTTTTATGACAGTGTTGTGAAAATATACGCCGGGGAGCTGATGAGAAAACATGCGACAACAACAGTGAAAATCAGCGAGGAAATGACTAGAGTTGCCAAGCGCCCCTTTAAGGGTGTGTTCACACTTGGCATGTTTGGTTCGATTAAAACGAACTCTGGTGCGATTGCTCTGTTAGTGCGCTTCATTTGAATAAGTGTGAACGCTGCCATCCGAACCCTGGTGCGCACCGAACAAGTGGACCGACACTTAAAAGATGGGTCTCGGTCCACTTCCAAACCAACTCTGGTGCGGTTTGAATGAAATATGAATGCAATACGGACCAAAGACATGACTAACCAAAAGACTGACTAAAATTGTTCCATTATAACACATAACAAATCAAATAAAAAATACATAAAATAAATCTAACGCATACAAAGAATGCTCCACACTCACAGTGATAAAAAAATGGCCAGGCATTTAATACAAATCTATAAAAGTACAGTACACATATTACAGAAAATCATCCCGGAGCAACATGGAAGTTCGCATCATGGCAACAGAACAGGTTTAGAGCTTCCATAATCAGTGTTAGGATGATCTTTTGAGACTTAAACTGTGAGATAAGTGTAAAACCCCATACCCTTAAACAGTAAGCTACATCCATAAATTGTAAAAAAATATATATATATATATATATATATATATAATAATACAGCAAAAAAATGTTTTTGTTTTAAAATATTTTGAAGTGTTAAAAAATGGGTCTTTTTCATAAACAATGTGTAAAATATATGAGCTGTGATTATTAAATGTAAATTACTGATGGGTAATCATTATTATTAACAGATCTGTTAAAGAGTCCAAAAGTCAATCAAGTGAATAATGTGTGTGTGGAATGTTTTGTTTTCTGATGAGGGTTGCAGTGGTTCAACTTCACACATTTGCTCAGGAAAAACAAAAACAAATCTTGTAGTTGAAGTCCTACTCATCTACTCAACTGAAAAACAAAAGCAAACAAGAATATCATAGTTAAGTCTACTAATAAAACAAAACCGTATTCATTTGGTAGTACTGCATGCTTTACTGCAACACATATTTTGCCACTATATCATTTCCATACTTCCATTTCTATAACTTGTGCATTCACCTTCCATGCTGAGTGTCGATGGTATGATATAGAAGGGGTCTCCAGGGTCCTGATCATACAAGTGTTGGAAAAGCACATTTTTAACCATCTTTAGGCTCAGAGTGTAGCGTACCAACTCCTCGTGATCTGAAGGCATCATGAACTGTAGCTTAAACTGGGCTGTAGTGTCCCTGTGTCGAAACAAGGGGTTAAACGCTCATTTCTGACAACTTTAACTTGTTATTAAAGTGAAAAGTTTGTTTGGGCCACACCGAAAACCGTGCCATGCAAAACCGATGTGTGGACGAGGTTTAAAAGGCATACTGCAATCTGAACAAAAGGTAAATAGAAGAGAAGGTGTAAAATGTGACAATGGAGTGTGATATAGACTCACTGGAGATGGTTTATGGTGACATTGGAGAAGTACCGTTCCAACGCAGGAGAAGAACTGTAGACGTCTGTTAGCTGAGGGGAGATGAGATACAGACAGAAAGACTGACTAGTGTTGTAATCTTTTTTCTTCTAAAGTTTAGGAACTCAGAAGCGAAGACCAGGAGACTTGGTTGTATCTTCAGCAGGATTCTTTATTGAGAAACACGAGCTGTTGGTAGCTCGTCGAGTCTGCTTCGTCCAAAAATCTTACCTTGTGTACCTTGTGTACATATACCTTATAAGGGGGAGGGGTTACATAGAGGTGGAGACACTCTGAAACAAAGCATGTAAATGAGGTATACAGGTTTAGAAACCTGCCCTAGACTGAGAGTGATACCAATCCTAATCCAATCAGCATAACTATTCAAACTGAGCCAGGGGCTCCCAGAACCATTAAAGACAAAGAGTCTAGTAATCCGATTCATTTAACTTACAATAGAGAGACCAGGACTGGCAGAATCTCTTGCTCATTTATACCTCAAATGCTAAATTCAGTCTACAAGACTTTCTCAGTTTATATACTATTGTACTGGAACCTAAATTAAACATTTAATACATTTGTAACACTACACTAGTAACACTGTCACAGTGAAAGTAGAAGTGCAAGTTGTGGCTCATACCCTGCTCAGGCCAAGCCAGTTTCAGTTTCTTTTAAAGAGTACTTTTCATGCCCTTTACAAAGTCTTCTTGATTTTGTTTTTGTGCTCATTTAAAAAAACACATATTTTTCACATATTTGACATTGTTGCAGCACCTCTCTTTCCAGTCTGTCAGTAACACTGTTTTAGTTCTTGTCTCTATGGCTGCGTTTACACTGGGGGGAGAAAAATCGATTTTTTTTTTACTCACATCTGACACGGATCGGAATTTGTTGCACACGTGTAAACACAAAATTCAGCACAATATCCGATTTTTCCGCATCCTGTCTGTGCCACTTACATACATCCATCAGATACATGCTTGTGGGTGACAAGTTTGCCCATAAAGATAGCTTTTTAATTTGATATTATTAAACAGATGTGAGAAACTTTAAAGAAATTGAACATTCAGGAGCTGGTTTTCAACCTCTGCCCCGTGTTTTATAAACAAAACAGCTTTACTTTGCTGTAATTAAATGAAGTTATAACTTCGCTGTTATTAAACCAACAAGCTTCACTATTAGTCTCTCTCTCTCTCTGTCTCTCGTTAATTCATAAAAAAAAAAAATCTTACAGCGCTACTTTATTTCACTTCAGAATTCTAGATCTAACGAGCCATAGACGAAATAACAATCACTGTTAAAGCGATCACCGACAATCACTTTGGCTGGGAATTAATGGGTGTCTAAAGAGAATGTAAAAAATATGATATGATAATATGATCAGATATGGTCAAAAGATTGGATCTGTGCATTAAGCAGTGTAAACGCAGCCTATGAAGCCTCTCCTTATGAAAAGCGCAGTTTGCTCTGATTGGTCGGCTGGACCCGTGTGTTTTGATTGGTCAACCATTCTTGTGTTTTGGCAATGTCACCCTTTTTTTTTTTTTTTTTTTTTTTTTTGTAATGATTTAAATAAGGAATATTGTGACATGTTCGTTCTAGGAAGAAAGAATGTTGGAAACACTGTTTTTTTTACTGATATAATAGAGAATAACTGACTTTGCAGACCTTTTTCATGCTCAAACAGCAACATCACACACTAAAGAGAGTAAAAAGATGAAATATATATATTTTTTTTAAAGCATCATAGGTCCTCTTTAAATGGTTAGCTCATACAAAAATTTGTTTTGTTTTATACTCAACCTCAAGTTATTCCAAACCTCTCTCTCTCCAAGTGTTTGTTTTTTTTAAAGAAAAAAAATCCTGTCATCTGTGGTAGCTCTTCTTATTGGATTTGTGAGAATGTATCAAGAAGTAACAGGGTTTGTTTTGTGAAAGCATTGTTCATGTTTATAGTTCTGGAGTCACATTCTTTTCCACAGAAGAATAAAGTCATGCAGGTTTGGACATGAGGGCGAGTAGATGAATTTGTGGATGACAGTATATTCATTTCTGGGTAAACTATCCCGTTCCTACAAATGTCCTTAATCATGATGACTCAAGGTGTTTCTGGGGGGTTTTGAAAAAGTTTAGTGCACATATTAGTTGTGATAGTCTTAGTCACATGACTTTCTGCATGTCTGTTGTGCAATAAGAAAAAAAATCATGTTTCAAAAAACTGAAACTGCTGATAGTCCATATAGGATAATTGTCATGTGTTACCATTCTTAAAAAGGCAACCTAAAATTTAAATAAAACAAATTATGACATGAAATTATACATTCAGAACAATATCCATCCCAATACAATACAATCCACCAAACAAATACAAAACAACACATGTTAACGACACAAAATAGAATACAAGCTGCCTTATTGTCCAAGTCAACAATCCACAACTTCAATTGAGTAAAAAGACTGCAAGTATTAATAATCAAAACCCAAAAGTGTTATTATGATAATTCTCTGGGTTCAGTACAACCATGCTGTCTTTTACTTCCTCCCTTCAAACTCGGTAACCCACTAACTTTCAAACAATATATGTATGTATGCAGTGGTTAAAGTGGGATTTGGCAGGTGGGGGAACCCTCAAATTTTGTGTAGGTGCAACAGGGAAAATGGCTCACTGTGGGACAACATATTGAGTATCGTGGTATAGCAATACTTTTTGGTATAATTATCATCCCCAGCCCCACACACAGACATGTGCATTAAAATGTGAGTTATTTAGGGGGGTTCGGGGACATGCTCCCCCGAGAAAATTTTGATTTCTCTGACCTACAAATGTGCAATTTAAGTCTTTTGAAGGCCCAAAAATGGATAATAAATAGCTTTTAACACCATCAGTGGGCATTAGATTATTTTGTCAATACCTTCTCTCTCCTCATCTACATCTTTCTTTTTCTCTCAGTCTCCTTATCCTGGCCTATTTCTTCCCCTCCTAAAGCTGAATTTTGACTAATAGTCTTTTCATTTTCGTCTGTGTCAGTGAAGAAAGTAAACATAGGCTTAACTGATATTTATATGTTTTATGAATCATTTTCTTAAACAAGTTAATTACTCAAGGCTACCAGGTCAGTATTGCCAATAGGAACCTTCTACAAGCTTTGGAATTTGAAAAGTAATTTTAAATAATACAAATTATAGGCTACTTTTAACGCAGTTGGTGGAATTGGCAGACGTTCCCTCATCATGCGCTGTGGAAACGCGTCAAAGCATTCTCGGGTATAAATATGCATTATTAATGCACGTAGGTGATTTGGAACGAATATTTCATGTCGATATACAATGGTTACATAATGTTAAAACTGATCCTGCTATTGATATATTTGTAAGACCCTATAGAACAGTGGCTATAGGGAAAACAAATGTCAGGCGAAATATCGAACCTAAAACTAACTTTACCGCGCTCAACCACCGTGAGTGCATTACACGCATTTGTAATCGCTCGCGTTCAGCGGGGAGGAAGGGAGGTTGGTCGGTCGGTCGGCCAAGCTCGGGACCAGCGAGATTCGTTGAGATTAATGAATCTATTTATTTATTTATTTATCTGAGGTGCCGGAACACAGTTCCGGCCCACTTTAACCCCTGTATGTAAGTATGAGAAAGAGAATTGTATCTATCGGTTCAACCATCTAGAAAAGTAGTCCCTCCACTAAAAGGACAATCTAGACAACTTCATAGCTAAAAAAAAAACATTTCCCACCCTTTAGATGTCACTTGTAAGTGCATTGCTGTCAGCATAAATGCATTTTTTTCCCGCACAAACCGAGAGATGAGTCAAAATCATTGTCTGTGGTTATTGATAACATCAGATGGTTTCCATAGTATAGCATTGTATTGAACACACAACAATAATTTAGTTTCAGATTCAAGATTAGTGATGAAAATCGTCTGAAACTTGACAATGGTTCTGGTTAACATATCTTTAAATCCATGAATCGATTTCAATAATCATACATGTCTGTTCGATCTGTTTGACATAACAAAGAGTATGAATGGGTTTCTCAAACACACTTCAGAGGCGTAATGTCAAGTAATGGTCATATCATTACCTGCTGTTCCAGCTGCAGTGTCTCTTGGTCTGAAGTGAAACTGCTGTTGTCCACAGTAAAATACCCTCTGAAGAAGCGCTTCACCACAAATGATGATTTATCATAATTTTCATCCCCATCGTCATCACTAACTTTAAAACACAGAGGGTTACAAAAAAACACACAGAATTAAAATGTTATACAGGAATTACTTAACACATCAAGACACGATCATAAAGTTTATGCAGTTAAAATATTATGTAAATGAGTAAAGCATGATCAGTTATGATTATTTATGCCATGGTTCCATCATCTCTGGGAATTCATAGAGAAAGGCTTCTCTGATCTCACTACTTTAAACATCAATTTAAAGCCATATGTTCACGCCAGATCCGACTGGCATCAGCTCAGAACAGGAAGGAGAGGCTACAGTGAGCAAATAGACTCTACATGAACTAGAAGAAGTGGGAAAACTCAAAATCTGTCATGACCGGCATGGCGTGAAAGGCTGTAAGGGTCAATGACATAATAGTTGTTGGTTCAGATGTGTGATATGGTGTAGCATGTGGTCATGTAACGTGCATAACATGCAGAAAAAAGTCAAAAGGGAAGAGAGGACTCTTGCAGTCGTTATGACTATGTGGCTGTGTCCCAAAGCTTAGACCAGTAGCACCTCATTGCAGTACACGAGATCCAGGGGGCGGAGTTGGATCCAGATCTAAGGGGTGGAGATGGGTAGGATTAGGGGTGGGGTTAGGGATCAGGGGGTGGAGATGGGTAGGATTAGAGGTGGGGTTAGGGATCAGGGGGTGGAGATGGGTACGTTTAGGGGTGGGGTTAGGAATCAGGGGGTGGAGATGGGTAGGATTAGGGGTGGGGTTAGGGATCAGGGGGCGGAGATGGGTAGGATTAGGGGTGGGGTTAGGGATCAGGGGGTGGAGATGGGTAGGATTAGGGGTGGGGTTAGGGATCAGGGGGTGGAGATGGGTAGGATTAGAGGTGGGGTTAGGGATCAGGGGGTGGAGATGTGTACGTTTAGGGGTGTGGTTAGGAATCAGGGGGTGGAGATGGGTAGGATTAGGGGTGGGGTTAGGGATCAGGGGGCGGAGATGGGTAGGATTAGGGGTGGGGTTAGGGATCAGGGGGTGGAGATGGGTATGTTTAGGGGTGGGGTTAGGGATCAGGGGACGGAGATGGGTAGGTTTAGGGGTGGGGTTAGGGATCAGTGGGTGGATATGGGTACGTTTAGGGGTGGGGTTAGGGATCAGGGGGCGGAGATGCGTACGTTTAAGGGTGGGGTTAGGGATCAGGGGGCGGAGATGGGTAGGATTAGGGGTGGGGTTAGGGATCAGGGGGCGGAGATCGGTACGTTTAGGGGTGGGGTTGGGGATCAGGGGACGGAGATGGGTAGGTTTAGGGGTGGGGTTAGGGATCAGGGGGTGGATATGGGTACGTTTAGGGGTGGGGTTAGGGATCAGGGGGCGGAGATGCGTACGTTTAGGGGTGGGGTTAGGGATCAGGGGGCGGAGATGGGTAGGATTAGGGGTGGGGTTAGGAATAAGGGGGTGGAAATGGGTAGGATTAGGGGTGGGGTTAGGGATCAGGGGGCGGAGATGGGTAGGATTAGGGGTGGGGTTAGGGATCAGGGGGCGGAGATGGGTACTTTTAGGGGTGGGGTTAGGGATCAGGGGGCGGAGATCGGTACGTTTAGGGGTGGGGTTGGGGATCAGGGGGTGGAGATGGGTAGGATTAGGGGTGGGGTTAGGGATCAGGGGGCGGAGATGGGTACGTTTAGGGGTGGGGTTAGGGATCAGGGGTGGAGATCGGTACGTTTAGGGGTGGGGTTGGGGATCAGGGGGTGGAGATGGGTACGTTTAGGGGTGGGGTTAGGGATCAGGGGACGGAGATGGGTAGGTTTAGGGGTGGGGTTAGGGATCAGGGGGTGGAGATGGGTACATTTAGGGGTGGGGTTAGGGATCAGGGGGCGGAGATGGGTACGTTTAGGGGTGGGGTTAGGGATCAGGGGGTGGATATGGGTACGTTTAGGGGTGGGGTTAGGGATCAGGGGGCGGAGATGCGTACGTTTAGGGGTGGGGTTAGGGATCAGGGGGCGGAGATGGGTACGTTTAGGTATATGTAAGGTGGGAGGAGTTAGATCTGGATCCAACTCCTCCCCCTGGATTTCATGTTCTGCAGTGAGGACCATCTCGCTTAGACAGCTGACTTGTTGCCTCGCTGACTAAACTGCTGTCTTTGAAATCAGTTTCGTGAGGTTCCTTCATATACAAACGCTGCTTGCAGGGGCAGAATAACGGTTTAATTATCTACATCAAAATAGGGCAAGCTTAGGTGAAAACTAGGCGACTATTTAATTACTACAATCATTTCTTGCTAGAAATGACATTTAAAGTGGAAAACATTGGTCAAAAACGTACATAACGTACATTTACACACAAACTGACCACTAACCGAAACTTTCAGACGCCATCTTTATTTTTTGGCTCAACTGTCACAGAATGGAAAGCACAGAATTGTGGGATATCAAAGGCAGTGAAGGATACATCTATGGGGTCTTCAAAACTTGATGAGATGAAGGTATCTCAGGAGACAGGAAGTGGAGCTAACATTGGATTCGGACGTGCCTTGATATGGCACCTCTGAAGGCAGCATTTATCAGCTTTTAGACGCAGCCCAGAAGTGGAGGACACAAGTCTGAGCTTTACGAAAACTCCCAGTTTACAAGTTGTAATCACAAGTTCTACGAGAACGTGAACACTTATTACAAGTTGGAATTATGACGTGAACACACCATAAGAAGTGTACACATGTATTCAAGGTTTAAGGAAAATTACTTTTTTCTTAATTTCTTATTTTTTAGAGGCATTAAACGTAAACTCTCAGTTTCCATGTGTGTTTGTCTAAAAGCTGCTCATTGCAGAAGGATAACGCATCACGCAAAAGATCACGCAATTTTCACGGCCTAGAAAAAATTACATCTTCACCCTTTATTTAAATATTACAATGAAAGTTTTGTTAAAGATGTTTGTTGTTGTGCTCGGAGTCATTTGTTTTTTTTGTGATAACACAATAAAACATACCATATTGTGCAGACATAACTTTTAACCAGGCTGTAATACAAAGAAATAATGAACGCATGCAAAAACAAGAGAGAACCAATGAAATATTAACTGATTATTTTGTAGTCAATGTATGCTTTTTCTATGCCATCTTTGCATAGCAAAATAAAACCTGTAGCTGTAGTTTGCCAAATGATTTTGTCAAAAAAAAAACCTTACCGACGTTTAGCGTTTTTTTCTTCCCTCATGTTATATTTAAAACATATTTTACTCATATTTTGATGGTTTATCAAGCTTATAGGGTCATTAAAAACAAATATCCCCTCTGAACGTCACGTTTGGCCACTACTGAATTGCACTATAGTGACATAATCAACAACATTAGTAATAGACAATGAAACAGAATGGAGAATCTATACCTGCACACACAATGAATGAGATCCCAATAACCAGAGCGATGACTGATAAGACGAGAAGTATCACCATCCATAGTTTGAGTTTCCACACCACCAGCTCATTCAGTTCTGTCTTCAGGCTCTGCAACTCCCTTCGCCACTGCAATCACAAGGGTTTCTTACTGTATCTCAGTGTTGTTCAAAGGCAAGTCCGGATACTGAGAGCTGTTTACTTTACAGTGCACATACAGTTTTCAGATCCAGTTATCTTGATAACACATCCTCTTAAAAAAACCAATAGTGCACATAACTGGACTAATGCACTCAGGAGGAATAAACATGCACCACATTTTACTATACGCATTATTTCCCCATGTATATACACCTAAATAATAGCTTCTAGTTTTCAGATTTACCCTTGAGGTTTCAGTTTGTGAGTCAGTTTCGCCATCAACTCCATCCACTTTCCTGTTCTCAGCAGCCTGAACACACACATCCAGACAGGTCAAAGTAAACTAAAGGGCCAGTTCGCTGCTTCATTTCTGCATGAGGTGTCAGGGCGCACATATCAAGTGAAGCTTTCTTCAATGACATGAGTGAAAGTATAGGATTAACGATTAGAGGCACACTTGTTTGTATTTGTCAACAAGGCATGCATATTTTTTATTTGAGTCACTGCATATCAAGTTTCAGCGCAAGACAAAGTGGAAGGACCAGCTTATGTAGTTGAATGAAAGAAACTATGACGGTTTTGTGCCAAAACAAACCCATTTTGACATACAGTACATTGCAAATGTATGTCCAAATGGTTATGCATGTCAAAAAATGGCTTTGCTTTGGCACAAAACCATCAGATTCATTTATTTTAAAGCCTTTCCTGTAGCTCAAACAGTAGAGAATGGCACTAGCGACAGGAAGATCATGGATTCAACTCCATTGGAATGCATGAACTGATAAAAAATGTATACGTAAATCACTTTGGATAAAAGCGTCTGGCAAATGTAAATCATTGATTTCTTTTAGCCAATCAAAAGTTATGAGTAAAAGGCATTTACCTGTGGTGTTAGAAGAATAGAAACTTCATCTGTCCCGAGCTGGTATGTGCAAGATCCATTTCCTGGAATCTCCTGTGAACACTTGCACAATTTACACAATATACACACATATTAAGATTAAAATATTGCTACAGTAGCAGTGTTTTAAAATATATATTTAGATAACGGCCACTAACAAAACAGTGCCAAACATGGCAACTGGGTCAATGTCATGAAAGAGAGTCCAGCATGAAGAAAAGGGTTAATCTTTTAAAAAAGAAGGGAAAACTAATTTTAAAATGTGCCATGTTCTTAGAAATGTTCTCTTTGTATTCATGTTGTTTTCATATGGTTTTGAAATATATGTATACCCCTTTGAAGAAACGATTCATGCAACCATTATGTAAACATTTCCTATCCACTTTGTATATATATACTATATACATATACACACATGGTTCAAATCTGGACTCTGACCGATGCCAAAACATGAGCCTGGTGGACTTGTTCTCAAGCCACTTCTTGGTTGTCTTTCCAATTCGGGAATATCAGGATATCATCTGATCATTCCTTTTTAGATAACAACTTTTCATTTGTGGGAAGCAAGTTATACTGTCTACTTGTACTCCAAAGCATTATAGCTTTTTAACATTGCTTAGACACTAAAAATGGTACATGAGGCTTACTCAGTGAAACCATTGACTCGCATCTTCAGACCAAGTCTGCAAAACTGCAAGCAAATGATCTGCTTTACACACAGTTTGCAGTTGTAAAAGAAAAAAGCTAAACACAGTTAGACACATTACTCAACTAACAGCTCTTGTTTCTCATTTGGGAAACATTACCATACAGATGGCTCAATTATTTCCCGATTACTTACACCCAACGATCATGTGTGAAAACACTTATACATGATTTGTTTACTTAGAAATCCAAACTCATTGTTCTGAGGGAGAAATTATTTAGTTTTTAACCCCTTTGTTTATAGTGTAAAAATACCTAATTTGAATTTAGAAACTCAATGTTTTGAGAAACAAATACATTTTTCACCCTTGCATTTATGTTTATTTTGTAAATATATACAAGTCAAGTCACCTCTATTTCTCAAGCTCAAGTCAGTTCAGTATTGATTCAGTTCAGTTCAATAATTGTACAATTAGTAGTGTTTATGAAGAAGTGTATATGGCTAATCATTTGATGGTTTATGTGTATAGAGTTACTATACAAAAGCACCATTTTTCAAAAAGTGAAATAGTTTTGAATTAAGTGTTTTGCAAGTAGTTCTCTAGTTTTGCAAGTAGAGTTTAGAGAAATGGACCCATAGTTTCAGAAATTGTATGCAAACAATTTTAAAAACAACAAAAAAACCTCTACGGCCTGGTTTCACAGACAGGGCTTAGATTAAGTCAGGATTAGACCTTGAAGTAGCTTTTATAAACGTGTCTTAGAAAAAAAAAAACATTACTGCTGTATGCATCTTGAGACAAAACAATGGCACTGACATATTTTAAGATATGCCAGTGCAACTTGCTTTCAGTTAAAAGGATATTTCCCCCAAAAATGTAAATTAGCCCATGATTTAACCTCAAGCCATCCTAGGTGTATATGTCATTCTTCTTTCAGACGAATACAATCGGAGTTATATAAAAAATATTTTTATATAACAAATTTTTATATAACCAGCTGACGGCCATACGCAAGTCGACTTGCGCCAAAAGAGTAACATTTGACGATGTATGACGGAGGATGTAGGAGTAACCCCAGGGACGAGTGGAGCACTTTTATCATGGATAGATGCACTTTTATCGACTTCAAAACAGAAAGCAGTCTAATAGTTATAATGGCAGTCCATTCACTGCCATTATAAAGCGTGGAAGAGCCAGGACATTTTTTTATATAACTCTGATTGTATTCGTCTGAAAGAAGATTGTCATATACACCTAGGATGGCTTGAGGCTGAGTAAATCATGGGGTAATTTTCATTTTTGGGTTAACTATACCTTTAAAACAGGGGCTAGTCTTAAGCCTTGTCTGTGAAACCAGTGGAACATGATTGTTCACAGTGAAGTATCTCACCAATACCAGCAGCTAAAAGGCTCCCCACACAATGACACCTCATCCCCCATGCTTTACTGTGGTAGAGATGCATTCATATTATATTTCTCGCCAGGTTTTTGAAGACACTGCTAAGGAACATCACCGTGCAACTCTGTCTTTGATGTTTTTCTGAGACAACAATGCCTTTTTAAGCAGTGCATTTGCTTAATTTTTGCTTATTTTCTGAACATTATTTGTGGTTAAGACCAAGCATTTAGCCATTTTGGGCTCGGCTCATTTAAAAATTTTTATTTTTTGAACCAGAAGTGTGAGTGTGTTTGATTTTCAATTTACAATTTTTTTTTTTTAACAATTTCCTGTATTCAAGTCATTGACTGTATTCATGAATGAATTTCTAGTGTAGTGTGTTTTATAGAATGATAATGAAATAACATATAAGAAAAAAAAATTCTATTGCCAGGTCACTTATCCACATAATATTATATTCATTAATGACCATATGTAGCCTTGTAATCCTGTAAACAAGCCTAAAATGGTTTGCTTATCTTAGCTGGTCTCCAAGCCTGGTCTGTTGCCTGGTTTTATAAGTTTTTATGAGAATCATTAAACTAGCTGAAGACCATCTTGGCCAGGCTGGGAGACCAGTTTAAACCAGCAAATAGCGTTTAACGCTTAGACCAGCAAACTTCTCAGCTTTTGGACATACATGGTAGCCTATAAAGCTGGAATAAAATAATGTATGTAGCATAATAATTCAGGTCATGGTTTGCATTTAAATACTAAGGTAGCCTACAACTACAGTACTTTTTGTACGGAATTAATAAGTAAAATCAAAGCGTTTTTTCCACAGATAATTCGATCAAACAGCGATAATACAAGTCCGGTCCCTTATTGCTCTCTGAACGTGTACACGCTTGCCCAGACACCGTGAGAAACTAAACTAGTCAATGAACATAAGACTAGATTAGAATGAATAAAATAAATATTGTTGCCACTTTACCTCAATTCCTTGGTCACCGGGGTCGTTATTGTTGTCACGGCCAAATTTTAAAGGCGTTAACTCCAGCTCGTCGCTCATTCTTCCATAGACACTATTAAACAGGCAACCTGCGATACACACACCCGGAACTGACTGAGGCAATGAGTAACGCGTTTCCCCGGAGCGGTGTTATGGCTAGAAACAATGCCGTGTTGTTATACACTCTGTTACATTTTGTTAATAAAGAATAAATAAGCTGGTTCCATATTTCTTCTCAATGTGGATGCTGATAATGGTAAACTCCAAGTGTTAAAGTGTGTCTCGTATTTCAATTGCGAGGACTGTATGTGTGTAATAAAGCGAAACTGAAGAAAAGTACAGCTGAGCTGGGATGTTACAGGAACTGTGGGTGTAGTAGGTCATGCCTTTGCTGAGGTCATAAGTTCTTCCACTGACGACTGATTCATATTACAACAATGACACCAAATGTGTTGGCATTCAAATTGTTCCAGGTAAACACAGGTGTCAACCCGTCTGCCCCCTTGTGGACAGGACACGTATACAGACTGCATTTTGAGCAAATTTGAATTCAACCAGCAATGAAAATTCAGTCACGTTCTCACCCCGTGTATTTCCAAAACCATATTTTATCAGTGGAACAAAAAATAATTGGTTTTGAGGTTTTAAAGTGTGTTCACCCTGCATTACAGAGAATGAGAACTGTGGCTGCATTTCGAGTGTTTACACAACCTTTGCGCTATTCTTCTGAAGCAACAGCTTGTGTGAGAACTGTATTTAAAGGGATAGTTCACCCAAATGAAACTTCTGTCATCATTTTCTCACCCTCAAGTTGTACCAAACCTGTATGAATTTATTTCTTCTGCTGAACACAAAAGAAGATATTTTGAAAAATATTGGTAGGTAAACTACGGAAGCCCTGAACCACAACGTAAAAATATTTTTTTCGAGACTTTAATCTCGAAATATTTCGACTTTAATCTCGACATATTTCGACTTTAATTTCCACTTTATTGTCGAAATGCTAGAAATTATTCTCATTAAAAAAAATTACGTTGTGGTTCATGGCTTCCGTACTTTTTATAAATACTATTTATTTCCATAGTATTTATTTAGTTTATTTTTTTTACATACTATGGAAGTCAGTGGGGCCCATCAACTGTTTGCTCCATACGGGTTTGGCACAACTTGATGTCATTCATTTTTGGGTGAATATCCCTTTAAGTCCAAATTAATTTGAACTCATTCAAATACACCATGGCAAGACATAAAACCAAAGTTCTGTCATTGGTTTTCACATGTCTTGTGCCGAATCACAATTGCCATTTTGATATGTAATATTTCAATGGAAATCTATTGATACTTAAGAGATTTGTTTGGGATTTTTAACTTTCATTGTATTGAAAAAAAAATCCATTCTGCAAAATGAAGAAAATAAGTTGTCAATGGGGTGAGTAAATGACAATTTTCAAGAACTATGAAAAAAGAGCAAATATAATTGTACAAGATTAAGAATTACAAACCGCTAACCCTAAATTACAGCTGTACGTAATAAAGGAAAGCATCTGGTAAGCGTAAATAAAGCTCTTTATTCAGAATAATAAAAGGTCATTGCAGTACAGTAGCGTTGCAGTCACAGTGATACATCTCAGGCTTTTTCATTTAAAAATACTATATTTTTGCATAGCAATGGAGACTGCAGGTAAATTTGGCTTTTGCAATATCTCTGCCACTATTTTGTTTGTATTTAGCTCATTTACTATGCTCGCAAGATTTAACAAAAAAAGAAAACTTCAATAACCAGCAGAAAGTAAAAGTGCAGTTAGTGGCTTCTGATTTTGCAACTTGAACTACACATAAACCTCCATAAACCCTCCAGCCGAGCCAATGTCGGCGAACCCAAACTCTCAAAATGATTGACAGGTACAGTACGTTTCTGATTGGTTAGTTTTCTTACCGTCCAAAAAAGTGCAGGCCGTCCCTGTTTTTTGCTATTTACAGAGCCTAGGCCTGTCACAGAGGCATGTGAGATATTTTAAAACACTTATTTCAGTCCTAAACTAAATAACATGATCATTCATAAAGGGTAAAGGCTCGAAAAGTGCTTTCAAAATGGAGAACGCTCTCCAAAGCTGAAAGCGTTCTCATTTTCTGAACAGCAAATATAAGAATCCAACATCAGTTTACTCGAAAGCATAAGAAAGCAATAAAATCGAGGCATATGAATAACCCTAGAGTATAAATAAAACCTAAAATCCAATCCGACCTCTTGGGAAAACATAATTATTTTCCATTTTGGCAGATTGGTGACAAATTCGTGTGAATAATACAACGTGATTTGTACGAAAACACGTTTTAGAAAAAAAGTAAGCATGAAGGTTCATCCTTAAACCTATAACTCACAGTGAGGCGTAAACAGATCATACGAAAACGTACAAATGTACAAATTCACCGCCAACTCGCCAAAACGTAAAAAGCCATGAGGATGAATTGATAACATCTAACCTTTTTGTGTGATATTTGCTTTAGCAATATTAAGTCCCCAAATCCACAATCCTAAAAGAGAAGAATTCAGTCCATCTTCATCCATCCTGGAGTCTGTTTTTTAGAAACTCCGTTAATTCGCCCGTCGTCCGGAATAACCTTCCCACAATTCTAGATTGCTAAAGCAATGCTTATCTTGCAAAATAATCCATTTTGATGAGCTTTTTGGCCTATTACGTCTATTCTGAGTTGTTCTCTGCATCCAGCACTTCCTTGTCCTCTTTGACTTCTGCCCTGTCCTCTTCTGTCTCTTCCTTCTCTTCCTCTTGGGCCCGTTTACAGTCAGAAGGTTCAAATCCTCCCTCAGTTACTTCTTCCACTTCTCCTGTATGGGTTACTTCAGTCCACTCATTTTCTTGGGGTACATCTCTGTGCTCTGTCCTGTCTTTTTCCTGCTGTGGGTCATTGGTGGGTTGAGCAGAGTCTGTTGTATCTGCTGTATTCTCCTGCAAAGGCCCACCAATCAGCTCCCCTTCATCCCCATTCTGAAGTTGAGTATCCGGTTGAAACAGAGAGTCACATCCATCATTCACTTTTGCCTCTTCACATGCCGACTTCCTGTGTAGCCTTGTGGGCAGCCGGCGCTTGAAAGACAGCCTGGCTCGACTCTGTGGAGTGAAGACACAAAATCAGACTAGCCGGGTACAAGCTGATTCCATACACAAGTTTAATAAACTATATACTGCAACTGTTGTTCCAGAACTTAGTTAGCTGCAATAGGACAGAACCTAATAAATGAATCATTTTACATCGGCTGCAACGTCCATGTGCCACACAAATAGCCCCAATGGATTCCAGCACTTTGGCATTAGCATTTTGCTAAGCTAACAAAACAATACTCTGAAAGCATAAAAATACACAAATATTGGGTGAAATGAAGGCTGTAACCTGAATGTATTGAGTCATTCATTGCAAAAATAAATGCCCAGTAATCTGAAATTTAGACGGTGAGGTTTGCTGTGTTAATGGCCCTTGAAAAAGTTATCAATTTATAATTGCACTGAACTATTTTTATCAATACTTTTCAGTACTAAGTGAAATAAAAGCACATTTGTTATCAACATTCTTCTCTACCTATCTTCTTCACCGATCATTTGCAGACAGAGCTGTTGTGTTGCCCTTCACTGACTCACATTGGATTATACTAGATTTTAAGGACATACAGCAAAAACAGGATTTATAGTTTTATGTTAAACCTGGACTCCGAGTAACCATTGACAACCTACAGTAAGCTATAATGTAAGCATACTGGACAAAGCAGTGAACACTACATCAGGGGTGTTTCTAGCCATAGGCAAACTGAATCATAAACAAATTCAGACCTTTTTTGCAAACCTGTCGGTCAGATATGATCAAAAGAAAGATTTATTTGCAAATCTGGCATCATTCGTTCTGATTCTGATAGAAAACAGGCATAACATGATTGCTGAAATATAAGGGATATACAGGATATACGAAATACGGTAATCTCCACATTTCTGAATGTTCAAAATGTTCAGCGTTTTTTCTTGGCTTGGCGAATTTAAGGAAACATTCCATTTTAGAATTTTGCAAACATTGAGACATTCTTTTTTAATGTTCTATGAACGTTCCGAAAAAGTAGTAACATTTAAAAAAAATATTACTAAAACTAAAATGTTTCAGTTTTATTTCATGAAAAATTTCTAAAAATGATTTTGTGCTAACGTTTTGAGAACATTGTTAAAGACCAGATAACTTTGAACAAACATTTTATCAACGTTACTGAAAGAACTTTTGTTTATAACTGAAAGTACCTTGACAACGTTAGCCAAAGTCCTGAGAATGTTCCCTGTTAGCTGGAATACTATTTCACCTTAAGGGTCACTGTGATTTTGCCAAATAAGACATGTTTTGTTGATCCTGGAACACCATTCCTGTCTGAAAATGTAGTCATAACCCTACCCCTACCCCTAAATCTAACCCTATCCATAACTTCTCCCTAAAATTATATGTGAATGACACTGATGTAGAAGCACATATCCCTGGTTGTAAGCCTAAACTTGACATAAACTGTAAACTTGTCCCTCAAATCTGATTGGTTGATTGGAATGTTGTTCCAGGATCAACAAAGATGTTGATCCATGAACATGTTGTCCTTGTGGAAATCAAGAACAGTACATGATGCAGAATGAAATACGCAATGATAAACATTTCAGTCAAAGAAAAGTTTAAATTCGCAGTTTACTACCAATTCTTTTGTCACGCTGAAATTGTAAGGTTAAGTTGAGGCCAAATGCATTATGGGATATAGTTTTCAATGCATTACCATAGTTCAGGAGCTAAATACTCCTTTAACAGAGTACAAACGACAGCTATCATGTCTGGCTTCTGTTGTGAATGCTCTTAGGAGAGGTACAGATGGTGAGATGCAGAAGTGGCCTGATTGGATTACAGTTCTCAAACCCTGTTATGTCCTCGGGCAGCGCACGGACAGCCTCTATTGGCTTACGCAGAGCTTAAGCACACAATACTGGCTCTGCACGCAAAGGGACGTGCACCTTCATGCTGATATCATCAGATCCCGTTCTGCACACATCACAGGTTCTCGGAGAAACAGCAAGACTGTAAAAGGTTACTGCTGAACTATCAAGAGATCATGTTTCACCATTACATTAGTTTGCAACAAATACAGGTTTCCAATGACCAGTTAAACTTAATTTAATCACGCACAGTCATATACTGTATTATGTGATTACAGCCTTGCAAAGTACCAGTTATTATTTACTGATGCTATCCTAATCCTGTCACAGCGTGTTTGTTATTCATACACTTATAATTTAAATAGTGATGTGGGAAAAAATGAGATGGGAGAAAAACGTTGTTTTCTTGCAAAAGTACTAGGTTCCCTTGAGAAAATGTGAGTTTTGCATTCTCTCATAAAAAGTCATGTTTTCTCACAAAATGACTGTTCCTTTGAGAAAATTGAGTTTTGGAGAAACTTTGTATTATCTCGCAAAAGTATTGCGTTCCCCCCAAGAAAATTTGTTTTATCTCGCAAAAGTATTTCGTTCCCCCATAAACTTTGCATTTTCTCGCAAAATTATTACGTTCCCCCAAGAACATTTTTATTCTCTCGCAAAAGTATTGTAACGCCAATACAAATTGTATTCTCTCGCAAAAGTATTGCGTTTTCCCATGAAACTTTGCGTTTTCTCTCAAAAGTATTGCGTTTTCCCATGAAACTTTGCATTTTCTCTCAAAAGTATTGCGTTAACCCAAGGAAATGTGTATTCTCTCGCAAAAGTATTGCGTTCCCCCATGAAACTTTGCGTTTTCTCTCAAAAGTATTGCGTTAACCCAAGGAAATGTGTATTCTCTCGCAAAAGTATTTCGTTCCCCCATAAACTTTGCATTTTCTCGCTAAATTATTACGTTCCCCCAAGAACATTTGTATTCTCTCGCAAAAGTATTGCGTTTTCCCATGAAACTTTGCGTTTTCTCTCAAAAGTATTGCGCTTTCCCATGAAACTTTGCGTTTTCTCTCAAAAGTATTGCGTTTTCCCATGAAACTTTGCGTTTTCTCTCAAAAGTATTGCATTAACCCAAGGAAAAGTGTATTCTCTCGCAAAAGTATTGCGTTCCCCCATGAAACTTTGCATTTTCTCTCAAAAGTATTGCGTTAACCCAAGGAAATGTGTATTCTCTCGCAAAAGTATTGTGTTCCCCCATGAAACTTTGCGTTTTCTCTCAAAAGTATTGCGTTAACCCAAGGAAATGTGTATTCTCTCGCAAAAGTATTGCGTTCCCCCATGAAACTTTGCGTTTTCTCTCAAAAGTATTGCATTAACCCAAGGAAATGTGTATTCTCTCGCAAAAGTATTGCGTTCCCACATGAAACTTTGCGTTTTCTCTCAAAAGTATTGCATTAACCCAAGGAAAAGTGTATTCTCTCGCAAAAGTATTGCGTTCCCCCATGAAACTTTGCATTTTCTCTCAAAAGTATTGCGTTAACCCAAGGAAATGTGTATTCTCTCGCAAAAGTATTGCGTTCCCCCATGAAACTTTGCGTTTTCTCTCAAAAGTATTGCGTTAACCCAAGGAAATGTGTATTCTCTCGCAAAAGTATTGCGTTCCCCCATGAAACTTTGCGTTTTCTCTCAAAAGTATTGCATTAACCCAAGGAAATGTGTATTCTCTCGCAAAAGTATTGCGTTCCCACATGAAACTTTGCGTTTTCTCTCAAAAGTATTGCGTTAACCCAAGGAAATGTGTATTCTCTCGCAAAAGTATTGCGTTCCCACATGAAACTTTGCGTTTTCTCTCAAAAGTATTGCGTTAACCCAAGGAAATGTGTATTCTCTCGCAAAAGTATTGCGTTCCCACATGAAACTTTGCGTTTTCTCTCAAAAGTATTGCGTTAACCCAAGGAAATGTGTATTCTCTCGCAAAAGTATTGCGTTCCCCCATGAAACTTTACGTTTTCTCTTAAAAGTATTGCGTTCCCCATAAAACTTTGCGTTCTCTCGCAAAAGCATTACGTTACCCCAAGAAAATTTGAATTCTCTTGCAAAAGTATTGCGTTCCCCCATGAAACTTTGCATTTTCCTCCCATCTTATTATTATTATTATTAATATTATTTTGCCATCACTGTGTCCCTTTAGGCCCACCGTACATTTCCTCTGTTCTGAAGTAAGAAATTTGTATCAGCCGTGTTTTAAGTAGTGTAAATATTTTATCATAAATGTCACTTCTTTATCTGAACCGAATCTTCGTTCTGAAAGACAGGTTTGAGTCAAGTTCCCAAACATCAGTGAAGAAAAGCATTTAAAATGTGTTTTGTTGCTTTTGAAAGTGCCATTAAGCGAGTTGACCTTGTTGATGTTGGGCAGTGGAGTGCCCTCGACCGGCTGCTCGAAGCTAACCGGCGCCTCATCTTCACAGGACAGGTGAACGGGCTGCAGGGTGGAGCTCACGGAGCTGCAGGGACTGATGGGACAGGACGCGGTGGCTGGCTCTTTAGACTCTGGACTTTTGGGTGGGGAGAGCAGGACAGTTGGAGAGAGAGCAAGATTGGCCTGAAAGAGAGAAGAAAAGGATGTTTTTAAAGCTCCTGCAAAATGTTCTTTAATAGACACAAAGCCAGTGGTCAACTGATATGCGTTTTTAAAGGTCATTATAGAGAGTAGAGGATGATATAATGCAGATATAAACATAATGCAACTGATGATAAGACAACATAAAATTGTAGGAATATGAACAATTACCTTATTTATTAATTATGTTTGGTGGCACAGAGGGCAGTGTGTTGCTAAAGACATACTGTATAAGAAACTGAACTAAAGCTAAAACCATAATACAAATAAATGTTAACTTGAAATGTTGAAAAAAAAGTATTTATTGTGTGTGTGTGTATATATATATATGTCAGTGCGACAGTGTCAGTAGAATGTGGGGGGACACTTTTAAAATATTATAAATGGCGATTAAAAGACATTCATCAGAGCATTAATAGTATTATCTAAGTTCTTAAATACTCTTCTTCTTGACTACACAGATACTCTTACCCATGTTTAACCTCTTTCATAGGCTACTGGACTAGTTTATATTCCACCGGTGCTGCCTAAGATAAATCTGCCTAATCTCAACAAACTAGAAAACCGACAAATTATCTAAATCTTAACGTTCAGGTGATTTCAGCTACGACTGAAGTGAAATGGATATATATACACGTCTATTAACAGCAACTTAAAACACCGCCAAAAAGAGGCTTGATTGAGCTCTTCTTGCACTGTAAAACGAAAGAGCCTTATCCGAAATGAATATCTCCTACCTGTGCAGGAGAGAACAGGAATAGAGAGAAACGGCAACCCTTTTGTCCCATGACTGCCTGATGGCTGCTATAGTGGAGTCTAGCTCAGCACTCACTGCGCTGGATAAGCCCTTATCTCATTACATCCCTGCTCTGAGCCAATCAGAGGAGACGGCGCAGACCCGTCCCGTTCACGAGCAGATGTATTCCACTGACCAATGACAGGTCAGACTAACTCTAACACCTCTCAGGAGAGATGTGTGTGGGGTTTAGGTGCGGGTATTGGCCTTGCAGTCGGACAGTTTAAACTCTAGGAGGCAGAAGAGTTGCAGAAAAACCTTGGCTTTGTTTGCAATAATGAAAACTTCACAATATACACTGTATACCACCTACTAGTCTTAAGAAAATGTGTGCAAGTGTGTCCAGTTTTCACAATTTGGCAGTTTAATAAAATAATGATTTAAAGAAGATGGTACATTTGTTTAATCATATATTACTAGTTTATTCTTCAAAGTAGAAAAATGGCATTTGCATTCTACGGATAGTATGCATACTACAGTATATACTGCATATTACTGCATATTAGACAATAAAGTGAGCAGGTATAGACAAAATTCTATAATATGACTGATATTCTGGTGTTAAAGTTAAACAACAAATTGGCCTTAACACAAAAAAGGGTACACTTTATAGTTCACTTTAGATTCTATAAACTATAACTTTGCTACTACATGTTAGTAGAAATAAAGTGTTACCAAAAAAAAATGATATGAAAAGACTCCCATTAATGCTGCATACGCACCTAAAATACACTGAAAATGCAAACAATTCCCAGCATACATGCAGGGTGCTTTAAAGTTTAAACTATATATTTCAGCAAATAGGTTTATGATGCAACATATTTCCTGAATCCTGTATGAAAGATGACTTCGTAAATGATACATGAAATTGATAAGCAGCCTCATAAATGTGCTGAAACTAAGATCGTGTATGAAATGGATAATGAAGCGGATAGATCTCACCTGGAGTTTTTCTATGAGGGCTGAACTCTTTAACTTCATCTTGGGAGGATGAGGAGAGTTAGACGACTTCTGTACCAGAAAAATCAGTTATTTAAAAGACATATTGAATAAGACCATTTTACATTCACTATAAATCTGGCATAGAGTATAACAAGGTGTGTTCACATTAATCAATAAGAGCCCGTAGCCTACACCAGGGGTTCCCAAACTTTTCCATGCCAAGGCCCCCCTTCTGCAGGATGTGTTATTGAACCCATCGACACTACTACAGCAAATGTAGAAATAAATAAAACCTCTAGGTGAACATCAGATTATGTGATGGTGTTTGATACCAGCCTATCATAAAGATTATAGAGATGCACCTATTACAATTTTCTAGGCTGATTACAATTTTTCATTGAGTTTGACCAGCCGATACAGATTTTAGCCGATCTGATTTCCTTTTTTCTAACCACTTTACAACACACACAAATATTTTTTTCTCTTTCTTTCTTTCTCTCTCTCTCTCTCTCTCTCTCTCTCTCTCTCTCTCTCTCTCTCTCTCTCTCTCTCTCTCTCTCTCTCTCTCTCTCTCTCTCTCTCTCTCTCTCTCTCTCTCTCTCTCTCTCTATATATATATATATATATATATATATATATATATATATATATATATATATAACATCATATAGTTTTACCCAAACTGAATAATTAAGACAAGTTTAAGTTTAAATGGGTAAATTTTCTATAAATATTTTTGAGTCTTCATTTTCTTTTCTGACATAGCCTACTCCAGTTCTTGTTAAAACACACTAGACATGCAAATTATGTGCATTTTAGGCACTTTTTGTGTGAAATCATATTTATTTTGTCCATCAAAAGTGTGCTTTCACTTTAATTGAGTGTGAGCTGCGCAGCAAAAATAGATTGTGCCGAAACCCGCTTCACTGCTGCTTACGCTCCTGCTTTGCGCTCCTGCTCGCGCTGTGAATGAAGCTCGCGCATTGAAAACATGTACGCCGAAAAAATACGCGCCTCTCGCGCTTGAGATCTGAAACGGCCGTAATTCACGAGGTTTCCTACATGTGCGTTCCGTGTGCATGTGGGATGCTGATGTTGCGCGATGTTAATCATGCGGCGCCCGAGTGCATTAGACCGGCATACAATCAGCATGTCAGACTGATCGGCCAGTCGACAATCACATGAAAATAGTCCAATTCCGGTCACCAGCCAATCAATCGGTGCATCTCTAAAAGATTAGCATTACAAGTATAATGTTCAGATAGGCTATGCACAAATTATTAGAATGCTATTTCATTACAATACTCATAATAATATAAATATAAATATTTTAACTTTTTTTTTTTTTTTTTTACTTTTTTTTTTTTACTTTTCTTCCAACTTGCTGCGGCCCCCCTGGCGCCCCCTGGCGGCCCCCAGTTTGAAAACCCCTGGCCTACACAACGTTCATTTACACGACAATTGCATTTTGGGGGCCTGAATACACAAACTTTTGAACACTGGTTTCAAAGTGCAAGTTTTTGAAAACAATACCATTATCATCTCTTTGTAAACTACAAATACGCAAATTTGTGAAAATGGTAACGTCATTCACAAAGGAAAAACATTCCCGTTTTACTACATTTTCGTGTAATTGTACCCTAATATCTAACTCTGTAAACTTAGGGTACATTTACATGACAATGATGTCCTAAAGACGGAAACGTTTTTCCTTTGTATTTTTTAAAGGTTTCGCATACGGTCAACAACGTTGTCAAAATGATCCTCGTTCACACGGATCCGTGAAAACGACTAAAAACGCTGTATTATTCATGCCAGGCCAGTAGATGGCGATGTCACTTTGTAAAGAAACACCACGTGCCTTTAGACTGACTGAACACGTAATACGCATGTGCACTGTTTTCACAAATTCACATTTTTGTAGTTTACAAGGAGACGATAACGGTAATGTTTTCAAAAACTTGCACTTTGAAACCCGTTTTCAAAAGTTTGCGTTTTCAGGCCCCCAGAACGCAACTTTTCCTGCAAATGAACGGCCAAAACGCATAAAAAGTTTTCCGTCTTTACTTGAAAATGATGTCATGTAAGCAGCCCCTTAAAACTAAAGTTCTGTTCTGTATTAATAATTAAACATACTGAGAAAAAAAATCAACTATATTCATCTATAATTCATATACTGCTAGTCTGGCATGAAAAAAAATCACTTGTTTCTAACTTTCCTGAGTGTCGATATGTCAGTAAAGTCACACGCGCACCTTTTCTTGTTCATGTTCTTCATCTTTTTGGTCGTTTATCACCAGAGAACATGTGGGTCTCGGTCTCCTCATAGATTTCACCTGCAATTCAGTAACATACGCTACATGATCACTGCTTGAAAGTCTTATGATATTTCAGTGGGAAACATTGTTGTTTCTGAACCTTTCCTCAATGTTTATTTCGCCCAAACTTAGTAATATTCACATTATGAACATATTAATAAAAACAAATCTAATTTTGATTAGGACCAACAGAAAGACGTCAGATGTTCCACTACCTCCATGTTTCCTGGCATCTGCAGCGCATGACCTTTGAGTCTCCCAGCCAGCTGAGCCACTGACGGCTTGACTGGAGCGTCCTCCTGCAAACAGAGAAGCAGACCGATCGTTGGATGTTCTTCTCTGATGTACTCACTTTATTGACTCAGGATGGATCCCACAGGGCCTGCAGTGAAGCTCAGACCGCCAAACACGAGCGAGGAAGCTCACGGGGGGGGGGAAGCACACACCCATACTGCTCATTTTACACACGCATGATGCAATAATGGCCTCCAAATTCAGCATGTGCTTGTTTTTACTAGACATGTTTTCTTACTTAACAGCAACTGGAAAATGAAAGGCCTTTCAAAAGTAAGAAATGGTGACGTCAGATGCACAGAGACGGGGTGTGGCAGAAAACACATTACCGCTCTATTTCTGCAGTACGTATTCAGTCTGGTTTCTAAAAGCACAATTATATTGTTTAATCAGATTATTCTCAATATTTAACCAGATTTGTTATTTAATCAGAGATTTGAGAATCCAAATGTGAGAAATATAGTCAAAATGATGAGAAATAAGGTATCAACTGTGATATAGTCACAAATTGGCAAACACAAAGTCGTAATTGTAAGATATAAAGCCACAATTATGAGGGGAAAATGATGCAACTGTGAGATATAAAGTTGCAGTTATCAGAAAAGTTGCTAATGTGAGATATAAAGTCATAATTAGGAGATACACTCACCTAAAGGATTATTAGGAACACCTGTTCAATTTCTCATTAATGCAATTATCTAATCAACCAATCACATGGCAGTTAGTTCAATGCATTTAGGGGTGTGGTCCTGGTCAAGACAATCTCCTGAACTCCAAACTGAATGTCAGAATAGGAAAGAAAGGTGATTTAAGCAATTTTAAGCGTGGCATGGTTGTTGGTGCCAGACGGGCCGGTCTGAGTATTTCACAGTCTGCTCAGTTACTGGGATTTTCACGCACAACCATTTCTAGGGTTTACAAAAAATGGTGTGAAAAGGGAAAAACATCCAGTATGCGGCAGTCCTGTGGGCGAAAATGCCTTGTTGATGCTAGAGTTCAGAGGAGAATGGGCCGACTGATTCAAGCTGATAGAAGAGCAACTTTGACTGAAATAACCACTCGTAACAACCGAGGTATGCAGCAAAGCATTTGTGAAGCCACAACACGCACAACCTTGAGGCGGATGGGCTACAACAGCAGAAGACCCCACCGGGTACCACTCATCTCCACTACAAATAGGAAAAAGAGGCTTCAATTTGCAAGAGCTCACCAAAATTGGACAGTTGAAGACTGGAAAAATGTTGCCTGGTCTGATGAGTCTCGATTTCTGTTCAGCATTGTTTCTGATCATGTCCATCCCTTTATGGCCACCATGTACCCATCCTCTGATGGCTACTTCCAGCAGGATAATGCTCCATGTCACAAAGCTCGAATCATTTCAAATTGGTTTCTTGAACATGACAATGAGTTCACTGTACTAAAATGGCCCCCACAGTCACCAGATCTCAACCCAATAGAGCATCTTTGGGATGCGGTGGAACGGGAGCTTCGTGCCCTGGATGTGCATCCCACAAATCTCCATTGACTGCAAGATGCTATCCTATCAATACGGGCCAACATTTCTAAAGAATGCTTTCACCACCTTGTTGAATCAATGCCACGTAGAATTAAGGCAGTTCTGAAGGCGAAAGGGGGTCAAACACAGTATTAGTATGGTGTTCCTAATAATCCTTTAGGTGAGTGTATATATATATATATATATAATTGCTATTGTAAGATAGAAGGTTGCAATTATGAGAAAGAAGTCGCAATTGCGAGATATAAAGTTGCAATTGTCAGACATTTAAAGTCACAATTTGGAGAGCTACATTTTTAATTGACAGATATAAAGTCGCAATAATGAGAAAGAAACGTTGCAATTGTGAGATATAAAGTAGCAATTTTTATTTTAGGTGGAAACAGGCATCTATACATAATTTCTCCGTATTGTCTATTGAAAAATCCATATCGTTAACCACTATCGCTTTTGGTAATGTTTATTTTTACACAATGCATAACATTATATACTTTTTTTAATACACTGTATATACTTTGTAACCTGCAGTATGCTAGTGTTGCATTCTGGACAAAGCAGCTGTTTGCATCGAATGTTACGGTTCAGTTTATCAGCAACACAGCTGACCAGCATCACACTTACAGCCTGGGGGAGTCTATATCTTTCTCATCACGAGGAACATATCAGTGTTTCATTTTTCATAAAAGCCTTAGTCAGAGTAGGCTATGCTTCAAAGCCTCAAACACAAGTGTAAGCACTAGCTCTTCTAATTGCACACTTGTCTTTTTCTCTCAATGTGCCTCTGCCAGCCTTTACAAACAGAAACGGGTCTCTCCCACAACATTCTTCTCAAATCTCCCACACCCTTAATAACACTTTATTTAATTACACATGTTGACCCCACTCACTTTGCTTCCTCCAGCTACAAAAACACACACACTCTCACTTAATATCCCACACTTTCTGAACACCACGGCAAACATTAGTGCTTACACGCACAGAAAGAAGACGTGTTTCCCCCGATCCACTTCCCTCCATTTCCTGCAGTTCCTTTCCTTCACCCATGATAAGCAGAATTCCCCTGAGACCACACACCCCTTGACTCATTATTTTGGCGCCCATAATTGTTAACTCTTTCCTGTCCCTCGAAAACAAAGCCACTGTAGAAAGGGTAAACTTCACAACGAGGACAATAGAGTCAAGAATTTGTTTGATGCTTTTTTCCACCCACCCATGTTGGTTTTAATGGAGACTTCAACTTATTTTCGTCAGGGAATACAAAAAATAAAAGAGGTCATTTTTATCTCGCAATTCGGACTTTGTCGCAACCGTGAGTTTATATCTCGCAATTCGGACTTTGTCGCAACCGTGAGTTTATATCTCGCAATTCGGACTGTATAATTCACAATTGGAAGGTTTTTTTTTTTGGTTTTTTTTGAGAAAAAAGTCTTAAATTCTGAGGGGAAAAAAAGTCTGAATTGCGAGATATAAACTTACGAGTTAGTTTCTGTGGTGGCAACAAGCATCCATATGTGTTGTTGTTGTTTTTTTGTAAAAAAGGACTGGAGAAAGAACCATATAAGAAACAAACACCACAATGGAGATCTCTGGAATAATTTATAGTAAAAAATATTATAGTAAAAATAATTATCTCATTTATTTCTATTTGTAAAAAAAAAATATATATATTTATATATTATAATTAAATGAGATGTGTAGCATAAGGAATGTACATGAACTTATTATAGTCGAGTCGATTTTGTCAAAACATTCAGTTCCAATTAAAAGAGTAAAATATGTTGAACAAAACAAGACACACTGAGTATGAGCAGTAAATCAGTAAGCCGGAGATGATTTGAACCCTGTGTTTGGGTAAGTCTGTAGGACGGGTGGGAATTATGGGCTCACTCTGGGAGTGGGAGTACAGAAAGCTCTATTTTAGGCTGCCGTGGCCTGAGAAATAAACCACAGACCGGCTCGTGATCCTCCAGCAAAACCGTGTCAGTGGAGGAGGATCTGGTGCAGTTTGTGGAATGAGAAGCATGAAAATGCACACTGTGAATACATGAATATAATTCTGTAACTTTACCCTTTTGGAAATGTTATGGAAACATTATGGAAACCTTTAGGCCTGCAGCTTTATTTGCTTATTAACATAACTCTATACAGACAATAAAGTGATTTCTGGCTTATAATACTGAGTGTTTTGTTTGCTTGTTTTTTTTAAATTAAACCATTTTAACCAATAATTAGATATTGAAACTGAAAAATGATTAAATATATTGTAAAAAAAAAAAAAAAAAAATAATTAGATATTGAATGAGGATGAGTAAATGATGACACATTTTTCATTTTTGGGTAAACTATCCTATAAATCATCTGGATTTAGCCAGATTTACAATTTCTTTTTAAAATCTTCTTTACATTAGCATATTGATATCTGCCCTTATGAAAAACAAGCATTATGACACTTAATTAGGCATGTTAAATACAATTAAATTAAAATATTTATTTGAAACCATAAATCTGCAAGTTAAAATGTATAATTAATTTGAATTTTTTAACTAATTTGAGTGTTTTTGAGTTGTACATCTTTGAATGTACTGGGACTACATATAGAATTCAGAAACCCTTGTTATTAGCGACGCATATACTTTCAACGGACCTCCAGACGGCATTCACGTTGCTGAGAGCGACGTTTAGATGAATATGTAAATATGCGATGCACGCTTTCCTCTCAATAACAAAAGAAACACACATCAACAATGACAGCAGGGAGAAAACACCAGTTAAGAAAGCATCTGATCGTAGCGATAATGATATGTTTGCACAAGCTTTCCAATTCACCGGCATCAGGTTGACAGATGAGGTCATTAAAATTACACTCTTATTATGATAGTTTGATTATAAAGTATTTTGAGGCTATAGACTATATAGATCTCTCTGTAAGAATATAGTTTAAATTAATCACTTTGCATGACACATTGACATTACAGTACAGAATGGCTCTTTCATTGTTTTCCTGAACATTGTATAAGCATTCGTTTCACGTGTCACTGAACGGAGGAGAGGCTCTTGGATCTTCTCAGTTCTCACGCATGCGTCCTGGCGCTCTCGTGAACTCAATTCAGAGGCCCACACAGAAGAAAATGAACAGTTGAATAAAGTCGTTATTTTTGTGTTTTTGCGCACAAAAAAAGTATTCTCGTCGCTTGATAAACTTAAGGTTGAGCCACACTTGGACTATTTTAATGATGTCTTTACTAACTTTTCTGGGCCGGCAGAAGCAATTGCCTAGAAGCCCACAGAGAAGGAAATGAATAGTTGAATAAAGTCGTTATTTTTGTTTGTTTTTTGCGCACAAAAAGTATTCTCGTCACTTGATAAACTTAAGATTGAGCCACTTTAGTAACTTTTCTGGGCCGGCCAGTTTCAATCCCTTAGAAGCCTATGGAGGAGTGCTCCAGCTCTCAGATTTCATAAAAAAATATCTTAATTTGTGTTCCGAAGATGAACGAAAGTCTTACGGGGTTGGAACAACATGAGGGTGAGTAATTACTGACAGAATTTACATTTTTGGGTGAACTATCCCTTTAATCTCTGTTAATGTTAGTTCATAAAAATACAGCTGTTCATTGTTTGTTCATGTTAGTTCACAGTGGGTTATCTAATGTTAACAAATACAACCTTTGATTCTAATAATGTATTAGTAAATGTTGAAATTAATATTAACTAAGATTAATAAATGCTTTATTCCAGTTCCAGTTCATGTTAACCGCTAAGTCTCCCACATGACTGCCATACTTCAGCAGATGTTTCTCTGACTGGCAAAAAAAAGCGACCAAATCACAATCAAAAGATGATCCAACAACAAAACCACTCCAGGGACCGCTGAAGCTACTGCTCCGAGCACACCACATCGGCCATATCTCAGATCAGCATCTTCCTTTGGAAGGACGTAAAGTAGCGCAAGAGGATACCACAGAAAAAAACACTAAATTGCCTATGGTTTTGTGAAATACCCAGACAATGCATTACAATTTACACTATAAACAGTGAATTATCATGATTTATTACAACAATAAACCACTACAGGCAATGGATTACAGCGATTTTCCCACTTTTTTTCTCCATTTTTCCAGTGATTTTGTTTTGTTGTTTATCTAAAGGTTTAGCTAGTTGCGATGCAATGTCCAAACTTCCACTGAGATGAGCGTGAATGCTAAATGGACACTTTCCAGGTTTGCCAGACCTGCTTGAAAAGTACCATGGTAAGCCTACTGACATACTTACTTACAAATGGTATTTGACATACCATCGGACACCACAGTACTTTTTGTAAGACTCTAAATCATGTGCTAGAAAATGTTACAGCTGACCTCATGGTACACTATGATGTCCTGCACAGTGGAGCGCTCTTAAAAAGAGTCTTTGTCGAAGAGTGAACACTATTAGTAGACGCATGAGGCACATAATGCCATTTTCTTTAATTCATGCTTTCTGGACGCACAACTCTGAGAGTTCAGCCAAGGTTCAAACCCATTGGGGTCATGAGGATATACACTATATATGAGGTAAAAGGGAAAATGTGGACCATATCCACACAAAAAAACCCTGAAAAAATGGTGTTTAAATGAGGTACAGAGAAGAGAATGGATTTTACATAATTAATTCATAAGTAATCTGGACTGATTCCCTCTGGTTGAGTGGTCTTGTGGGCTAAGACTCGAGTAATATGGTCATTGCATGTCTTGTTACTGCGAGAACAGACATGTAAGTCTCCCTCTCAGCCATTCCAGGAAAACATGAGTGTTTGAATTTTACATCATCGTAAGATCTCACTTTTCCACTGCCTTTGCCGGCCTTTCAGGCACACAGCTTGTGTTTTTACAAAGGCTCTCTGTGTGTTACATCACTCAAAGCAATGGGATAAACAGCTACCACATCATGAGGCCTGACAGGAGGGAACATTACGGCATTGACAAGGTGTACAACAGGAATTAATACCAATGTTTGACAGCAAAGACAAGTAGTATAATACTACAGATAAGCTGGACAGAATGTTTATTCTTTATTTATTACATATCTACAGCGTCAAAACCGTTTTTTTTATTCAAAGCTGAAGTTTCGTGCCCTTATTGTGCTATTTAAAAGGCTCCTAATTTTGTTTCAGAGGTCTCCTACAATAGGTTTTACATAGGTAAAAAAAAACACGTTTCTCATAATAATATACATTGGAGCATCACCTATTTTCTTACAGTGCCTAAAACGGCTCGATGAAGGATTCGTTCTCTCTAAACCCCTCCCTTCTGAAAGCCTACTCTGCTCTGATTGGTCAGATGACCCAGTCTGTTGTGATTGGTCGACCGCTTACATCATGTGTCGGAAACAAAACGCCCGTTACCATAACTGAGTATCAGCTCCGGAACTTCCTCTGCTCTTGATACTCAGTGATACGAACAGTAACGATGGCATGGGTTTTACCGTATTAATAAGTCTTATGAAAATAAATATATTCTTTAAATAAATTCTTTTGAAGTGCTGCAAAGTGTATTTGCTTTCGCAGCGCAGAACAAGGTGTCTTCTAGAGATGTCTACAACACAAACCAAACTCTTCCAGGCTTCAATGTGTTCCTCACAAAGCTATTGTAGGACTTCACAAGATTTAACAGGTCATTGTCCTTTTGTGATCCACTGAATTTGAATGGCATGAATAATAGGACTGTAAAAATGGTCGTAATTTAAACTTTAAAAGACTGCTACAGTAAAAACCTGTTACTTGGTTAACGGTAAGTTCACTTAATATAACCTGTGAAAAACTGTAATAAATCGAATGGGTTTATTAACGTTATATCAGTTAATGAAATACACAATTTTTAGTGTAAATTTGTAATTTCAATCGGTAAAACCTAAAATGTTACCACCATATTTTTTACGGTAAAGTTCTGCCAACCACAGATGCTGTTTTTTTTACCATAAGAAAGCTACTTTTATAATACACATTTTTTTTCATTAACTGTTTCTTTAAACTCCCATCCATATTGGTAGCAAATAACAGGTGCTCTTATGATTAATTGCAT